ACTCTTTTCCCCATATTTCTCTATTCTGGAGAAACAAGTTAAACATGAGACTTGAACTGTTTGTTCTCACATGACGAGTATTAATCAACAGAATTTGACAGAACCACAGGCTTCCATCAGAAAGACTGATATCAATGAATGATGTTCAAAAGGAACCATGCGAACGCATAACTACGTGCACTAATCACCACAATCAGTCAACATAGGAAAAACATAACTATACTTTCCAAAAAGAATACAAACACCAAGATTCATTTGGTTAGCAGATTTTCTTCAGATGCAAATCACAGTTGAAAGCATCTTTCCTTCATCTTCCTTTCCTGATTTACTCAACTTGCCAAAAAAAATAGGCCAGCTCATCCTCAGAATCCGAAAAGTAAACGAAAATAGAACAGAATGGCTTTGTTTAAAAGATATACCTAGACTAAATAGGTTTAGGTGATGTCACGGTAAACAAGAATATATGTACCAGAGGGAGTGGCTTAGTGGTTAATGAAGTGACTTAAGCGCCATGAGATCTCATATTCAAATCCCAACGGAGGAAAAACACCAGGTGTTTCTTTCCATATGTCCAAGCCGGTGACAGAGTTACTCAGTGTATGTGTTGGTGTGAGGTAAAAGGTACCCCGTGGAATTAGTCAAGACGCATGTGGGACACAGATACCACGTGTTATCACATAAAAAACAAGCATATATGTCAGTGTACACACTCACACACATACACAGTAAACAGGAAACGGTATTTTAAAGTAACTATACACCGTCAAGCTTCTATATGCACCAGAAAAATTAACTAATTGCTCCATACTTCAAATATAGAAAAAAGAACAATCAGTTTTGATCAACCTTAGACAAAGTGACTTGTGCGATTGTGCGATTGTGCGATTGTGCGATTGTGAGATTGTGCCATATGTTAGAAGAGAATAAGCAAAAGCTTTTGCATAAAACCAAATACAAGGAAATTTTGTACCCTGTTCCTTAAACGATTTCCATAGACTTCTGCGTGTTATAGGAATGTATGGTAAGTTATGCAATCTACAAGTTAAAGCAAATTATGCTATAAGAAAAACAGATTAACAATTTATCTAGAATCAAAACCAAGTAAAACACATAGCAATAGGAAAATCAACAAAATATGGTAAGCACCTAAAAAGGACAACCTTTTCAAAACTTCTCAACTGATTTCAATCAAAAACAATTTCAACCAGCTCCCACTGTGATTGAAACCTGGAATAAGAATTCAATTCATCAACACTAAACACTCCTCAGGATCCCATCAAGACCAACCAAACACCCAACATATCGACGAGCATTTATGTTATGATCATGTTGCAAGGTATGGGACTTGAGTCCCACATCAGTTAATGGGGATGATATGGAGCTTATATAGCTAGCTTTTGGGTGTAGTTCTCCTGGGTTGTATCAATGGTATCAGACCAATCATCCTTGCTCTATGGGTATTCATTAATGGCATTCCAAAATCCTCTTTATGCTTCTAATTTCACTTAATGGTGGTTATGTAGGAGATCCTTATGGGTAAACCAATACGGGATATAGGGGTTATTATAGTGGGTATCAACAGCTCTTCAATCACACATACCAGCCTCCGAGGTTCACCAACTTCTGTTACACAGGGATCTGTACAAGCAATTCTCTTTAGCCTAGCTTAATTCTTAGTTAGAATTTCTTCCCCAATTCTCACATTACATCAATAATATCAGAGCCATCCCATCCCTCTTCGTGTCCTGGATGATGACACGTGGTCCGGAGCTAGAAATGGTCATGCACAGCGCAGTGGTTTGTTATGATCTTATTGCAAGGTATGGGACTTGTGTGGTTAAATAGGGAGCTGATGCTGGGCTTATATAGCCTTGAACTCTCCCACCTCAATCGCTAGCTTTTCGGGTGTGGTTCTCCTTAATTTGTATCAATTTATGCTATTAAACACCATCAAAATCCACCAACTTCACATAGATAAATCATTATATCCATTTCAATCAAGAAAAGAATCAGAACCCATGTTCAAACTCAACGAAATCTCAAATAGAATTGAAGCAGCAACAAAACCCATAATTCCCAAATTCGCATACATCAAAAAAATCGTCAAGAAAAGCAAGACCCAGATAAGATAAACACATAAACATGCAAAATACAAAGAACCAAGCATCGGATCTAAGAAAAAAAATTGCTATGAAATGAAAATTGATTTCAAAATATGTATGGTATAAGGATGAGCTAACCATCTCCGTCCTTGTCAAAAAGACTGAAGGCTTCCTTGAACTCAGAGATCTGATCTTCGGTGAGCTGATCCGCCATTTCTCTTTGACTTTTCTTTGAGAGATATTTTGAAAGGGAAAGAGAAGTTGCAGATTGGGAAACAAAGAAGAAGAAAAAATGGAGTTTCTGTTTGTGTAAAAGAAGAAAAAAATGAAAGGTTGAAAATGGTTAATTTTAATGGTTGTAAATGGTGCCAATAGTTTGGGGTGAAAAATATTTGATAAAAAAAAAATGATGAAAGTATTATTTCAAATAAAATAATCAATTCTACACAATAATTTATTTTAGTAATATCACAATAATATTCTTAGTTAAATGATGATATCACAAAAGTAATGTATCGAGAACATAAGATGTGTGATTAGCGTAACAAGACAGAGAACGTGAGGTATGTTGTCAATGTAATGAAATAAGGTATTGAGATATGAGAAAAGTGGATAACTCTTGTAGTACCAGACAAAGAGAGTGAGGTATGTGATTGACGTAGCGAATATAAAACACGTGATCAGCATATCAAGATAAGATATGTGGAACAATCGACTATTGTGCGTGGTGTTACATATGTGAAGATCATGTCATGCATTCATTATATGTATGATATATTTTATATTGTTTTATATCTATTTATTTATATCTTAATCATGGACATAACATATATAACGTTTGGATTGTGCTTTTAAATATTTGTTCCTGTGTGATAATTGAGAGCAACTCGAGGATTTTGTTGGATCTTTGTGATTCCACCTTATTGCCTTTTTTAGGTGTTGTGTTATGAACCAAGTCCAACCCAATAGGAATACCAAGATCACACAAATAGTTGTTGGGCTGGCAAGACCTATTGGGCTGAGAACAAGCAATTGGGCCAGACTATGTTTGGGATTCGGGTTGATAAATACGTCTTGGGAGAGCAAATTGGACTTATGCAAATTGTGAAAGAAGTTGTCTATTACTCTCATCTTTCATCTTCTTCTGTATCTCATCTCTATCTTCTTTTTCTTAATTGTTCTTCCTTACCAGTTGTTATTTTCTTGTAATTCCAGTCAGTGATTGCAATACTACAAAAGTTCCCTTGGTTATTATTGAGTTTGTTACATTGGTGCTTTCATCAATGTACTCTAATGAAAGTTGTCGTTTTAGATCGATTTAATGGCAACGCTGATCCAGAGGACTGGATATCTAGGGCAGAACGATATTTCACTTTTCTGGGCTTCTCTGAGGAATATTGGCTACCTCTTCCTTCCTTATATCTCGATGGTGAGGATCTCGAGTGGTTCCGTTGGTTGTTTCGCAACAAACAGTTTTTTTATTGGAATCATTTCAAGGAAAAATTAGCATTGCGTTTTCAGAAAGGAACCTATACAGAGTCTTCTGGGGTGGATGCTCAAATTACCAGTATTCTTGCTTTGCTTCAGAAGATCGAGGACAAATATGCATTTACATCTCAACAGGTTGTAGTAGAAGATACTGGGATTTGCACTCCTACAGTCTTTAGCGGAGAGACGGCGTCTCCTTCAACCGAAGAAAACTCAAGCCTTGTGGATTATATTGAGGGTCATCCAGAACTGTTAGACACATCTATCCCTGACCATTCAGGTCATGTGGACTATGTGTTCGATGAAATGTCTAATGGAGTTTTCACCAAAGAAGTGGCAGAAACTTCTCCCGCCTCTATCGTTGTAGCTGATTTGAACCATATTCAGTCGCCTAAGGAGTTCGACAAATGTTTTCATAGTTACTGCCCCATCGTAGTCGCAAAGGTGCAACCCGATACTCCATTCAAAATGCTTGATGAACAACCATCAGATCCTAAACACAGTGAAGTCCAACTGCTTGATGAAGGTTCCCCAAAAGATATGTCAAAGAGGTATGTTACTGCTAAGTCTCTGGATCGTGGCTTGAGTAAGCAGAAAATTGAATTTGAGACCTTTGACGACAAGTCTCTTGATGAGTTTCTCGTGGAGCCTGAGACAATTGAGAAGCTATATCTTGATGATTTTTTTATGGAGAGCAAGGATAGCAGTCCACGAAGTAACTTGCCTTCGGATGGATTGCTTGTTGTGGAGCATGGAAAGTTTAGTGATGAATTCAGTGCTCGCAATATTTTGTGTCAATTTTTATTTAATCATGGTGATATTGCCGCTATTCATGGAACTGCAACATATCTTTGTATATGGGATCCGGGTATAAGTTTCAAGTTTAAGGCTCTCATAGGTACAGTGAACACGAAGCCACCATTATTGTTGGGCTCTACTGGTACTTTTGGCTTCATTGTTTATGCTAACTCCATCACTCAAGTGTGGGATCCCGGACAACAAAGGTGCATGCATTCTCCAATTTTGCTATTTGTCTTTGCATTGACAGCAGTTACCTCTTTGAATTTTAATTCTCGGGACACTTTTGCTAAGTGGGCAATTGCATACAAGATGGTAGTGATGGAATTAAAAGTGGATGATACATGCGCTGAGGTGAACCATGTGTTTGAGGACAGTTCCCAAAGAGTTTCATCGAGAGAGATACAATCAATTGCACCTCTGGATATTATATGTCTTCCCAAATTATTTCGACTCCTGTAACAACTACTAGCACAGCTAATTTTTGTTCTCCAAGCTCCAAAGAGTAAGGTAAGGTATGCAGCAATAGGAGGTGATGTCTGTTCACGAAAGAAAATAGTTGAGCATCCTGTATTTGTTTATTTAGCATGTCTACAAGGCTGCATCAAGACTATGGTAGACTCGATTGAGCAGGAGTTGTGTAATTTCTCTACGCTTGAGGAGATCATGGTTTTCTTTGGCGCTCAAGGTGTACCAGCTAGTTATGCTATAGAGATTGAAAGTGAGCTTGAATTTTTGAAATGTGCTTCAATTGTTGATGCTTATATTGTTCACAAGTCAATGCTCGAGAAGAGTAAAAGTAATTCTATCTTGAGTAGTTGGGGGAAGTTTATAACTACTACGAGACTTATGTGTTATCTTGCCCATTTCGGTGGCCATAGACTTGTTGAAGAGCGCACTGTAGCACAACAGATTCAGCTTGCAGAGCTTAGAAAAACATCCGGTGCAGCCATGAGACTGCCTCTCCTCGCAAGCTCTCAAGCCCTTCTTGCTATAACTCTTCAACAGAAACATCATTATCTCTCCCTTCTCTGTGAAACACCTATGGAGGTAAACAAGAAGTGTAGATTGAGGGATCCTGAATCATTTTCCTATCTCCAACAATCTTATTGCTATGAAATAATAGCATGTATTACTTCTGCTCATGATTCTGTTAATATAAAAGAGGTATTGAAAATTGCTTGGCTTGGCAAAAGAGAGCAGATGAAATTGTTTAGAGTTGTGGCCTTTGTTATGATTCTTGGTAATATGGAATTCTTTGAAGGCAATGAATTTGTTTCCTCAATTCTGCAAGTTGACAGTGTTTGGTTTATACTTCGCACCACTATTGCAGCTCTCTACCACACTTGAGTCTTGGAAGATTCAATATTATATTGTCCGTGTGGCTCTACTCGAACCTTGAGGACAAGGTTCTTATTGAGGACGAGAGTATTGTTATAAACCAAGTCCAACCCAATAGGAATACCAAGATCACACAAATAGTTGTTGGGCTGGCAAGACCTATTGGGCTGAGAACAAGCAATTGGGCCAGACTATGTTTGGGATTCGGGTTGATAAATACGTCTTGGGAGAGCAAATTGGACTTATGCAAATTGTGAAAGAAGTTGTCTATTACTCTCATCTTTCATCTTCTTCTGTATCTCATCTCTATCTTCTTCTTCTTAATTGTTCTTCCTTACCAGTTGTTATTTTCTTGAAATTCCAGTCAGTGATTGCAATACTACAAAAGTTCCCTTGGTTATTATTGAGTTTGTTACATGTTGCATGTATACTATAGTTAACATTGTTATGACGATTTGAGTTTCATATTGTAATTTAATTTTTTTACGAAAAATGAGTTATCTTCTCTATTCATATAGGTTGGTCGTAACAATCTAACATCATTTTATATTTAAAACATTACATTGAGACTTAGTTTTAGTATTATATTTTAAGATATTTTAGTACGACTCGAGTTGAGACCTAAGGGGATTGAGATAGTTGACAATTGTAACTTAAAAAAAATACAATTGTTAAACTTTGATTTCGATTCCGATACGTAACAATCACGAATCAGGAGAATGTGATTTAGAATGAATTATTAAAGGGTAATTTATCAAATAGAAATTATTTTCCGCAATTGTGACACTCATTCCGCACACATAAAAGTCAAGAAATTGACTTTGCACGATTTCGATACATGCATCGCAATTGCATACAGGTCTGGCATGGGAATATTTATAAAGTACAAAAATTTGAAGAAAAAAAATAATTTGAAAAATTATAAGTTTGTAGGTAATAATATAATGAAGTCGAATTTTGGATGATTATATATACGCAATTTTGGATGAATTTTAACCATAAAATGAGGTGTGTAAATTGAGAATCTTAACTTAGTTTCTTAATAAGATAATTTAATGGTTTAACCTAGCAATTTAATTCAAAATTGTAACTTGAATATAAAATTGTGAGTATTCTTGATATATATATATATATATATATATATATATATATATATATATTACATCATTATATATGCTTGAAAAAGTATTTCATCTTTTTACTCTATAAATAAGATTTAATTGATCTATAGTTAAAAAAATATTTCATCTTTTTACTTTATAAATACAATTTAATTGATTTATAGTTAAGTCAATGATACAGATTGAAAAGAGAAAAGTATTTCATAATATAAAAAAAAAACATTTTTTTTTATAAAGATTGACAATTTAGGGGATAAAGTAGGTATTTGACATGTTTAGTGACCTTATGAGTGATATAAACATAGTTAAATAAATTTCCATGATAAAAAGAAGTAGAAGTGATTTTGAATAGTTGAATGATCATCTAAATATATAATAAACTTAGCATTATAACATGACCATCTTTATTTGATCGTTCCCAAAGAAAAATATAGTTTTGAACAATAAGTTCGTCACCTGACAATAATTTGTTTAGACACTTAAAATAATTACATCTTGTGCTTCTTTTTTATAGGAAGAAAATATTTTTCAAACATTTTTTTTATATTAATATCCGGCTAAATATAATTATTTGTTTCTAAGATAACAATTGCACAAAGTATAAGATAAAGTATTAAAATAATGTTTTTGACAATATATTTATTTTAATATTAAAATCATCAACAATTAATGTTATGCATTTATTTGAAATAACTAACCTGAAATAACTTTTTAAATAAATTGAAATTAATATAAGTTGAAATGACTTTTTAGTTTCGTCCATATTAAGAGAAAACTACCATTTTTTGTTTTGATGAAATTATTTTCATTGGAGAAAAGATATTACAATAATGTTTTCTCAAAGTTAATCAAACACGAAAATAAGATAAAATTTGAAATAGTTGGGATTAAAAAAATCAACTTATGGAGGAAGATGAATTGTTATAATGTATTAATATTGTATAAAAATGTATATGAATAAATATACATATCTGATACATAATTATACATTATTTATACAAATTTAGATACATTTATATACATATATCTATTTAATTATATAAAAAAAATTATTGAACAATACATTCATGTAAAGAAACCCTATAAATTTTTGAATAGATTGAAGAAAGACCGAATACATGTATTGCAAATTGAGTCAACATAATAGAAGAAAAGTTTGAGGTGAGACTAGATATGATCGTAATATAAAAATGCAAATAGTTTAGATATCGTATTTCATATTTCAAGAGAATGAAAAGATAGATAAATATAGTACTCACAAAATTAAAATTGAATGATTGAAATGAAAAAATGCTATCGTGTGTTATGTGATAGAAGGGGTGCCTACCAAAATGAAAAGTATGTTCTATAGAATATTGGGCTTGGTTTCTAAAGTTCAACATATCCACAAAATTAGTGTTGTGTAGATGCAAACGGTGAGTTGAATGTGCGGTCATATCAAATAAAGTACAAAATGACCATATTTGCCAAAAGGCATGGAAGAAAATATTTTATAGTTTCACATGTTTGATTGGGCAAATTTCTAAAAAAAGAAACATTTTCTCTCGAAAAACAAGTTGCTGAAAAACGAAGAAAATAACTTCTTTGATGAAAGTAGGGAAAACAAATTCAATAAGTGATACTATATGTTCATTGTATTTTCACCACTCACCCAACACCCCCTACTCCTTGACCATCTCACTTTCTCCACCCCCGAGGCCCCACTCTCAACCCCCTCCCATTGCTATAGTGTTTCTTTTATATTACATATAAACACTCTTATGGTTCGTTTGGTTGGGAACAAATTATCTTAGATTAATTATCTTGGGATAAGTTATCTCATCGTGTATGGAATAACTTATCACATCACTGTGATATAAATGTTGGCATAAATAATTCAAGGAACTAATACCTCCAACCAAATGTAAAACAAAATAATTTTGCATCTTATCCCATGATTATTATACCTTATACCTCACACCAAACAACTCTTAGAAGTAATAATTTTTATTTATTTATCAAATACTAGAAAATAATTATGAAATCATATTTGTGTGAAAAAATATTAATTTTATTGGGGTACGTGTTATCTCGGGACTAACTATCTCAAAATTAGTAATCTCACTCTTAATGTGTGATAAAAAATAACACTATAATTCTTAAATAAGTAATCTTGAGATTACGTTATTCCATAATTTTAATCCAACTAACTATAAAATTATCCTAAAATTTAGTTACTCCCTCTGATCAACAATAGTTGACCACTATTAACTTGACACACACCTTAAGAAACAATTAATAATAAGAGTAATATTAGGGGTGACAAAATCAAACCCAACTCATTCAACCTGCCCAACTCATTCAAGATTGGACGGGTTATTAACCCGTTCATTCATTAGCTCTGCCCATTTCAACTCAACCCATTAAAAATTAAGCAATATGTAACCCTAATTAGTTCGTGAAAAATCTTGTCTAAATAATAATTATTTTTTCAATTTGATATATTGTATATAGCCATAATAAATAAAAGAAATTATTAGGTACTATAATAGTTTAAGGGGTCGTTTGATGTGATGGATAAGAGGAGTTAATCTCGAGATAACTTTTTAATGGTCTTTAATCAGTTGTTTGGTTGCAAAGGCTAGAATAACTTGTCCCAGGATTAATAATTAGTCCTGGGATGGGTTATCCCTCACCGGGGGTGGAATAGTAATCCCAGGATGACTTAACCTAGGATGAAGAATGTAAAATAACAAAAATACCCTCCCCCTTAAACTCTATTTTATACACCACATTTATATTTATGTATATAAACAGTGAATAAAGCTTGCAAAGAAAATATATATAAAAAAAAACTAAAATAAAGTAGAGGGTATTTTTGTAAACAAACAACTTATTTTAAAAAATTATGCTATGAATATAAGTTTGAATATGACAAACCAAACAAGCAATAAAAACTAATCCCAGCTTAACTAATCTCAGCTTAACTTATCTCAATATAACTTATCTCAACATAAGTAATCTCATCATAACTAGTATTCAAACCAAACGACTCCTAAAAGAACAAATAAAATAATTAGTATAACAATTAAGCTTAGTAAAATTATGTTGAATTGGGTTGGTCTTGATCCGATTGTTATCTAAAACCCATTGTGACTCGTCCAAATTTGATCCAACCCGCCCAATTATCACCCCTAGGTAATATTACTATATTATCCTTTAAATATATTAAATTAAATATTTTGAAAAAATATATTAGATATTGATAGAAAAAAGTAAATTATCTCTTATTTTTTCAAACTGAATAAATATTATTAAATAACTATTTTTAATATAATAAATAAATAAAAATAAACAAAAAAAATAATTAATAAAATAATTTGATTCTCGAAATTCAAAACATACCATTTATTAAATTGATTTGGTATTGTTGCATGATTCACCCGGATAGGAAAAGCAAATATTTGTCACATAATATAGTTTGTCATAAATCCGTAACGTATGGACCCCACAACAATAAGAGGGTCATATCAGTGAATATGAAGGTCGTACAAGGGTAAAATAGGAATAGAATAATATAAAAGAGAGAGGATAACGGGGAACATAACGGCATGTAACCGAGAAAAAAGGAATCTTCATTAAAAGTATAAAATAAATTATAGGAATCCAAAAATGGACCATAACACTCGTGCACTTCTTTTTTTTAAAATAAAATAAAATATTTTATATTGTTAATATAAAATAAATATATTTTACTCAAATTATTCAAAGAAAATCTAACGTTAAGTTTTTTTTTTTTATTTTTAAAATGATGATATTAATGATAAATGTTACTACTACTTAAACTCATAAAATAAAGACTCTATGCTGGATTGGTATGAGGGATAAAGAATAATTAATTTTGAGATT